AACAGGTATTTTTTCTCCTTCACTGATTTGCATTGATGAGGCGGCACTGATGGGCACACTGATGGGGCACTAACTGATGGGCACTGATAGACAGCACTAAAGGGCACTGATAGGCAGTACTAATGAGGTGGCACGGATAGGCGGCACTGATAGACAGCACTAATTAGGGGTCACGGATAGGCGGCACTGATATGCAGCACTGATAGGTGGCACTGATAGGTGACACTGATGATGGGTACTGATAGACGGCACTGACTGGCATCACTTCTGGGCACTGACTGGCGGCACTGACTGGCAACAACCCCTGGGCACTGACTGGCACTGACTGGCAGCACTGCTGGGCTGCACTGGTGGGTGGCACTGGTGGGTGGCACTGGTGGGCAGCACTGGTGGGTGGGCACAGGTGGGTGGCACTGGTGGGCACAGGTGGGTGGGCACAGGTGGGTGGCACTGCTGGGCCCACATGTAGGTGGCACTTCTGGGCACAGGTAGGTGGCACTGCAGAGTGGCACAGGTGGGTGCACTGCTGGGCACAGGTGGGGGCACTGCTGGGCACAGGTGGGGGCACTGCTGGGAACGGGTGGGCGGGGCTAGTGGGCGCACTGCTGGGCGGAACTTGCGGGTGTCACTGCTGGGCACCGATCATCAGGGCATTGATCATCAGTGCCCTGATGATCGGTGCCGATCCCCGCTCTGACAACTGCCGGTTCTCGGCAGTACTTTCCTCACGATCTGACAGCGTGAGGAAAGTGCAGCCGAGAACCGGCACTTGCATTTCCCTGTGATCAGCATGTCATTGGACACCGCTGATCACGTGGTAAAAGGCCGGTGGGATCGGCCTTTCACCACATCACGTGATCAGCTGTGTCCGTAGGACACAGCGATCACGGAGATCGCCGGGCGCGCGCCCCCTGGGGCGCGCAGGAGAGCGCGTTCTGGGAGGACGTCATATGACGTCCACTCAGAACTGGCCGGCCGCGGTGAAGCCGTCATTCGGCTATGCGCGGTCGGCAAGAGGTTAATGTCCTAGATTGTAAACTCGAAAGAGCAGGGCCCTTGACCCCCTCGTGTTTTGTTTTGTTACTGTATTGTCTCATGTTCTGTCCCCCACTATAATGTACAGCGCTGAGCAAACCTTTTGGCGCTATATAAATACTGTATAATAATCATAATAATAATAATGTACACTGCTCAACAAAAAAATTACAGGAACACTTTGAAAACACATCAGATCTCAATGGGGAAAAATCTCATGCTGGATATCTATACTGATATGGATTGGGTAATGTTTTAGTAAAGATGCCCCATCGATTGATGGAAATATAAATTATCAACCTACAGAGGACTGAATTCAAAGACACCCCAAAAAATCAAAGTGAAAAAAAATGCTGCAGCAGGCTAGTCCATTTGCTAAAATTTCATTGCAGCAACTCAAAATGGTACTCAGTAGTCTGTAGGACCCCCACATGATTGTATACATGCCTGACAATGTCGGGGCAAGCTCCTAAGGAGATGACGGATGGTGTCCTGGGGTATTTCATCCCAGATCTGGACCAGGGCATCACTGAGCTCCTGGACAGACTGAGGTACAACGTGGTGGCATTGGATGGACCAAAACATGATATCCCAGAGGTGTTCTACTGGATTTACAGTAGGTCAGGTGAGCATGGGGGCCATTCAATGGTATCAATTCCTTCATCCTCCAGGAACTGCCTGCATACTCTCGCCACATGAGGCCGGGCATTGTTGTGCACAAGGAGGAACCCAGGATCTGACAATGGGTCCAAGGATTTCATCCTGATACCTAATGGCAGTCAGGGTGCCATTGTCTAGCCATAGAGGTCTGTGTGTCCCTCCATGGATGTGCCTCCCCAGACCATCACTGACCCACCACCAAAACGGTCATGCTGAATGATGTTACAGGCAGCATAACGTTCTCCACAATTTCTCCAGACCCTTTTACGGCTCAGGGTGAATCTGCTCTCATCTGCGAAAAGTGCAGGGCACCAGTGGTGGACCTGCCAATTGTGGTTTTCAATGGCAAATGCCAATCGAGCTCTATGGTGCCAGGCAGCAAGCACAGAGCCCACTATAGGACGTCGGGCCCTCAGGCCACCCTCATGCAGTCTGTTTCTGATTGTTTAGTCAGAGACTTTCACACCAGTGGTGTGCTGGAGGTCATTTAGTAAGGCTCTGGCAGTGCTCATCCTGTTCCTCCTTGCACAAAGGAGCAGATACCGGTCCTGCTGATGGGTTAAGGACCTTCTACGGCCCTGTCCAGCTCTCCTAGAGTAATTGCCTGTCTCCTGGAATCTACTCCATTCTCTTGAGACTGTGCTGGGAGACACAGCAAACCTTCTGGCAATGTCACATATTGATGTGCCATCCTGGAAGAGTTGGACTGCCTGTGCAACCTCTGTAAGGTCCAGGTATCGCCTCATGCTACCAGTAGTGACAGTAACCCTAGCCAAATGCAAAACTAGTGAAAAACAGTCAGGAAAGATGAGTAGGGAAAAAAATGTCTGTGTCCTCCACCTGTAAAACCATTCCTGTTTTGGGGGTCGTCTCAGTGTTACCCATCTAGTGCACCTGTTGTTAATTTCATTAGCACCAAAGCAGCTGAAACTGATTAACAACCCCCTCTGCTACTTAACTGACCAGATCTACATCCCAGGAGTTTAATTGACTTGATGCTATACTCTGATTAGAAAGTGTTCCTTTAATATTTTTGAGCAGTGTATTAACAATATTTCTAACATTGCGATCAATCCTTTTAAATTGAAGCTTTTATTAGCAGAATACCTAGAGTAAAATTCAAACATTTCCTGTTTTTGGGGTGACAACTATCGTCCAACTGTGCTCCTGTTTTGCCAACTTGTAATTGACAACTTGTGTCCATGCCAACAAACATTGCAAGGGCGACATTAAAAGGGCGCGATACACGATCAGAAAGCCAGTCTATAGCAAACATGTGAAGCTAATACTGCAGTGAGTGCATGTAGATAGCAAGTGACTGAGTGTGGAGAAGATCAGCAGCACTGAGATGCATGATGCAGTTTATGATACATAACATGCCTCCCAACAGTCCCCGGATTGTGCAGGACTGCTCCACATTTTCACCATATTCCCGCTGTCCCATGTACATGGCCCTACGCCCCACAAAGGCTTTGTCCCTGTACCAGGGGTGGACTGACAACTCATGGAGCCCCCGGGCAATAGGGGATCATGGGGCCCCTGTGTCCTTGCCCAAACTCAAAAAAACCTATGAAAAAGGTACCAGGGGCATCTCATGGGTACCAGGGCCCTCTCATCACCAGTGCCCGAGTTTCCAAATGGTCAGTCCGCCCCTGCCCTGTACACTTCAACCACAAACTCACAATGATCTGTACATGAATGAACTGGCAGCCGGATTTGCATGTGGATTAGCTGGCAGAGGGATTTGCTTTTGCATGAAATGGCGCACTGGAACTAAATCTCGGTCTTGTTAGGAGTAACAGTTTCTATGGGTTAAAGTGGTTATTAAGTAAATGTAATTTATAATTCTCCATTAATGCTTATCCCGGGGATTCTCCACTGACCTATATCTTTATCATGGTGTCTTCGTGTCAGCCCAACTTCTGGCAGGTGTTAGATCGTTTGGCACTTACAGCACTGAGCTGACAAAAATCAACACAAGGGACATAATTTACAGTCAGTAGAAGGTGTCCCTTCTACTGATGCCTCTTCTGTTAGGTGAAATCCCCCTCCATCGATACCCCACCCCTACCATAATCTTCCCATGTGGTTGGGGGTTAATAGAACTAAAGGAGTTGTCACAGGGTGCCAAACTATGCCCACCATTTCTGCCCCACTGCTCTATGCATAGAAGCTGTGCTACAGTTATCTATAGAATGAATGGAGGGGATGGACCTTTTAAACATCCACCCATCCTCCATTCATAAATCATTTTTTAATTCACTGAAGCTATATTTACAGCTTCTATGAATGGAGGAGCTGGGTGGAAAGGACGGGCATAGTTGGACACTCTTGATGAATACAGTCCAGTAGGAAAGCCAGCACAGTGGTATGGATCAACAAATAACTTTTATTTATGTTGTGAAGGGAGACACAGCCAGTGAAAATCAACGCCTTTCAGCCATTACATCCTTAGCCACTAATGCAGGCCATAGACGGTTCGTTTATCGGCCGATTTTTTCGTCCAAAAAACAAAACATTGTTCGTACTGTAAACCGATGTTGCCACGAAAGATTGCGAAAATTGTCCGTTTTTCACTAATTTTCCAGCATGACCGATAAACGAAATGAGGAGGAACCGCGAAAATTGGCCTATGCCATTGCCCCACTTATGCAGGACATATTCGACATATCCAATAAAAAATTTAAGAAAAAAACAAATGTCTTCATAAATTTAGGCCAAAATGTATTCTGCTACATGTCTTTGATAAAAACAAAATCCCAATAAGTGTACATTGATTGGTTTGTATGGTTTGTATTGGTTTGTAGCGTCTACAAACTATGGTATATATGCTGGAATTTTTTTTTATATTATACTAGTAATGGTGGTGATCAGCGACTTATAGTGGGACTGTGATAGTGCGGTTGGCAATCTGACACTAACTGACACTGGGTGGGAGATAGACTAACTGGTTAACTGACACTGACATAACCAGTGACACTAATACAGTGATCAGTTATAATACTGTAATCAAGGGGTGAAAGTGTAACTAAAACCCACTACAGTAAAATCAGTCTGTATATGCAGTAAAGTGTGCTTGTTATACTCACTGTGGAACCTAAGGGGTTAATCCTCTGCATTTTGTAAAAATTCTGTTTGATCCTGACTTCTTCGATCCTCCCCTTCTTCCAGTGTCCCCCTCTTATTTCCTAATAAGACATATTGTGTGGAGTCACTCTGCACATGCTCATTTTGGTGTGCATTGCTAGAGAAGTTTTTTTTTTGATCAGCACTGTCCAGACAGAGGTCAGGGGTCCTGCATCCTCCTAGAGCAGAATGAAAACTCCTCCTACAAGCTTTAACCTGTGCTCAGCTGGAGACTGATAGAAGTCACAAGACTGCTCTAACTGCTGATGAGAAAAGGTATTTAGCAGTTTATATTTACTAACGTAATTACATTTCCATGTTGTGTGTTTCTGTGGGAGACCAGATATAGTGAATGCAGAGTCCTGGGTTTAGTAACACTTTAATCTCTGCAATGCTAAATTTTTCTAGGGGGCCTCTGGAGATGTCTGTGGCCTTCCATTGATTGGTGGGATTGTCTGGGAGACTCCCAAACAAATGTGGATCTTCACAGATATTGGTGAGTGCTTAAATCTGGAGCTCTGCCTAATCAACATAACTATTCAGGGTACATTCAGATACATTCTCAGTCTGAATACAATATGGCAGTTTCCGGTTTCTATACGCACAATTTGGAATGACTACCTCTTTGCACAGGGTAGGCACTCATCCATTATTTTCCATATCCGTTAACATCCATTTTTTTTTTGTACGGAAGAAAACCCTATTTTTCTTCTATAAAAAGACAAAAAGACTGATGTAAACTGATGTAAAAAAATTAAAACAGATGAAAATGGCTGAAAATGGATGAAACAAGGATGTAAACGGATGTAAACAGATGAAAAATAGATGAAAAACAGATGTAAAATGGATGTAAACGAACTATGAAAAACAGATGTAAAGTGGATAGAAACGGATGGAAACACACATGATAAATGGATGAAAAAAACTGATGAAAAACGGATGTAAACTGATCTGTTTTTTCTTTAAAAAATGTGACTGAACTGCTGAAAAAAAACAGGAACGCCCGTGTGCTCTACGCACAATTTGGAATGATTTTACACAGGGTAGGCACTCATCCATTATTTTCCATATCCGTTAACATCCATTTTTTTTTTACGGAAGAAAACCCTATTTTTCTTCAATAAAAAGACAAAAAAAAAACTGATGTAAACGGATGAAAAACAGATGAAAACTGATGTAAAAAATTAAAACAGATGAAAATGGCCGAAAATTGATGAAAAAAGGATGTAAACGAATGTAAATGGATGAAAAGTGGATGAACAACAGATGTAAATGAATGAAAAACAGATGTAAAATGGATGTAAACTGATGTAAACACATAAAGAAAATGAATGAAAAAACTGATGAAAAACGGATGTAAACTGATCCGTTTTTGCTTTGAAAAAAGGTGACTGAACTGATCAAAAAAAACAGAACGCCGGTGGCCTCTACGCACAATTTGGAATGGCTACGTCTTTACACAGGGTAGTCACTCATTTATTATTTTCCGTATCCATTAACATCCATTTTTTTGTACGGAAGAAACCCTTATTTTTCTTCTATAAAAAGACAAAAAAAAAACGGATGTAAATGGATGAAAAACGGATGAAAATGATGTAAAAAAATTAAAACAGATGAAAATGGGTGAAACAAGGATGTAAACAGATGTAAACGGATGAAAAATGGATGAAAAACAGATGTAAAATGGATGTAAACGAATGAAAAACAGATGTAAAGTGGATGTAAACGGATGTAAACACATGATAAATGGATGACAATACTGATGAAAAGCGGATGTAAACTGATCCGTTTTTTCTTTGAAAAAATGTGACTGAACTGATGAAAAAAAAACGGAACGCCCATGTGCTCTATGGACAATTTGGAATGACTACCTCTTTACACAGGGTAGGCACTCATACATTATTTTCCATATCCGTTAACATCCATTTTTTTTTTGTACGGAAGAAAATCCTATTTTTCTTCTTAAAAAAAAAAAACACAAAAACTGATGTAAACGGATGAAAAACAGATGAAAACTGATGTAAAAAAATTAAAAACAGATGAAAATGGCCAAATATGGATGAAAAAAGGATGTAAACGAATGTAAATGGATGAAAAGTGGATGAACAATGAAAAGCAGATGTAAAATATTTGTAAACGGATGTAAACACATGAAAAATGGATGAAAAAAACTGATGAAAAACGGATGTAAACTGATCCGTTTTTTCATTGAAAAAATGTGACTGAACCAGGGGCGGACTGACAACTCAAGGGGCCCCTGGGCAATAGGGGATCACGGGGCCCCTGTGTCCTTGCCCAAACTCAAAAAAGCCTATGAAAAAGGCACCAGGGGCATCTCATGGGGCCCCCTACTGACCCCGGGCCCTCGGGCGGGCAGTGCCCGAGTTTCCAAATGGTCAGTCCGCCCCTGGACTGAACTGATAAAAAAAAAAACAGAACGCCCGTGTGCTCTATGGACAATTTGGAATGACTACCTCTTTACACAGGTTAGGCACTCATTCGTTAATGTCCGTATCCGTTAACATCCTTTTTTTTTGAACGGAAGAAAAACCCTATTTTTCTTCCATAAAAAATGGATGTAAACTAATCACTTTTTGGTTTGAAAAAAAAGATGACTGAACTGATGAAAAGAACGGAACGCCAGTGTGAAAGGACCCTTAAAGTGTTGACTTTCTGGAGTTCTTGGGCCTTATATAACATTCTGAAGACTGGGGATACCTGAAGAGGTTCAGATTGTGATTATATATCCAACCATCCTCCAATGTCCATGGGTAGACTTAAACTGCCCATACTGGATTCAAATTCAGCCGGTTCAGCAGGGGATGGACGAATTCTGATCCATGTGTGAGCACTGGGATTAAACAGTTGACCTATCCATTGACTTATGTACAACTGCCTTGTTGGAAAATTTCTGTTAAATCAGCTCTGCAGGCTAATGATTGCAGCGCTGATCTGCGTATTTTGATGGCAGGGAAGTCTCCCTGTTAGAACACAAAGACACAAAAGCAGAAGAAAAATGGATCAGTGTGAAAGCAGCCTTACACTTTAAATCAGCCAGCTCTGGAGAACGAGGTCCAGGAACACTCTCACAGCAGCTGAGTATGAACTCTCTACAGCGTACAATGCTTATGGAGGTTTGGCACAAGTACTGTTTTGAATAATGAAAGCCTGAAAATATCATTGTGGCTTACACAGGCAGAGAACATATTTTGTGCATTTTCCAAATAATGTGAAAGAGAAGAAAAAAACTTTTTGTGGCAATATAGTTTTGGATTCTTAAGCTGACCATAGACAGCTTGAATTTCATCTAATTCCTGTTGAATCGCCCAAAACTCGAGCCCTGCAAGCAACACCCAGCTCTACAAAAATCGATTTCAAAACTCACTGAGTTGAGTGGGAAATTGAGTCAAATGCAATTACTGTTCAGCATATGCTGATATGAATAGAAATGTTGAAACTCTTAGGGAGCTATTCATAAATATTTTACTGTGTGAATGTCTCAACATATGCATAGCCATCGTGACTAATCCCAGTAATATGTTAAATATCTGTGAAATGTCATTTTCTATTTTTTCCTATGATCCTCAGCTCCATCTATTGGCCACAATGTGGTATTTTCCTGATTGTGATATTTCTGGAAAATACTTCATTATGGCTACTAGAGGGAGCTGACAATAAGTGATAAATGGAAAATGACATCTCATGCATTATGCACACATTACTGGAAATTAATAGATATAAATAGATCCTTTAAAGTAAACAGGGATTGAGACCTTCCTGCATTAAAATAAAACAAGTAATAAAAATACCTTGTAGTTGTCGGTAAATTTTAAACAATAAAGCTTCCAATACTACAGTAATCCTCCCTGTAACCCCAATCTTCACACTATTCCTCCCTGTAACCCCAATCCTCACACCAATCTTCACTGTAGCCACAAACCTCACACTATTCCTCCCTGTAACCCCAATCCTCTGACTAATCCTCCCTGTAACCTCATCCTTGCTCTAACCCCCCATAACACCAATCATCGCACTAACCCTCCCATTAGCCCCAATCCTCACACTAACTCTTCTGTAACAGCAATCCTCACAATATTCCTCCCTGTAACTCCAATCCTCACACTATTCTTCCCTGTAACGCCAATCCTCACACTATTCCTCCCTGTAACCCCAATCCTCACACCAATCTTCATTGTAACCACAAACCTCACACTAATCCTCCCTGTAACCCCAATCCTCTGACTAATCCTCCCTGTAACCTCATCCTTGCTCTAACCCCCCATAACACCAATCATCGCACTAACCCTCCCATTAGCCCCAATCCTCACATTAACTCTTCTGTAACAGCAATCCTCACAATATTCCTCCCTGTAACTCCAATCCTCACACTATTCTTCCCTGTAACGCCAATCCTCACAATATTCCTCCCTGTAACCCCAATCCTCACACCAATCTTCATTGTAACCACAAACCTCACACTAATCCTCCCTGTAACCCCAATCCTCTGACTAATCCTCCCTGTAACCCCCATCCTTGCTTTAACCCCCCATAACACCAGTCATCACCAGGGGCGGACTAAGCATTCGAGCACTTGGGCACTGCCCGAGGGCCCAGGGTCAGTAGGGGGCCCCATGAGATGCCCCTGGTACCTGTCATTGGCTTTTTCATAGGCTTTTTTGGGTGTGGGTGAGGACACAGGGGCCCCATGATACCCTATTTCCCGGGGGCCCTATGAGTTGTCAGTCCGCCCCTGGTCATCACACTAACCCTCCTCTAACCTGCATCCTTGCATTAGCCCCCCTGTATACCCAATCCTCACACTAACCCTTCTGTAACCCCAATCCTCACACTATTCCTCCCTGTAACCCCAGTCCTCACACTATTCCTCCCTGTAACCCCAGTCCTCACACCAATCTCCACTGTAACCCCAAACCTTATACTAATCCTCTCTGTAACCCCAAACCTCACACCAATCTTCACTGTAACCCCAAAACTTACACTAAGCCTCCCTGTAACCCCAATCCTTTGACTAATCCTCTCTGTAACCCCAATCCTCACACTAACCTTCCTCTAACCCGCATCCATGCATTAGCCCCCCTGCAACCCCAATCCTAACACTAACCATTCTGTAACTCTAATCCTCACGTTAATTCTCCCTGTAACCCCAATCCTCACACTTACCATCCCTGTAACCCCAATCTTCACACTAACCCATCCCTATAAATCCAACCCTTACACTAACACCCCTGTAAACCCGATCCTCACAATAACCCTCCCTGTAATCCCAACCCTCTCTGTAACCACAGTCCTCTCACTAACCAATCCTATAACCCCAATCCTTTCATTAGTACTCATACTAACC